CGAAGTTTTGTTTTTTCTATCGTCTATTGACACTATAGAATAGTAGTTGCTTTTTATGTGTTGTTCGATTGATAAGAAAATTTTTATTTGTCGAAGGAGAAACATTTTGTCATTCTGCTCACGTTTTCTTTTTTTCATTTTTTACTTTCAACCGAACGAGACAAAAAAGTATCTTAATGTTAGGTAATAGATGTTTTAATAAGAATGAAACAGACTTCCGTCCATAACTAAGCAAACATAAAAATACAGAATACAGTTTTGAAAAGGTAAGAAATGAAAAATTGTTTTATTCAAACTTTTCGTACAAAATTTGAGAAAAAAAAAACGAATTTATTGCTCATACTTGTTGAAGTTAAACAATCATCAAAATAAATTTCGAAATGTATACTTTGTAATTACTATTGATTATAATAAAATTGTTACATTCATGTATAACGAAAAACAGAATACGAACACTTTGAATGAAAGTTTATATAAAGAACGACAAGATATGATAATCAGAATAACCTCTAAGATGTTTATTTTTCCAGATTACCCATTATACAGGTGTAGTCAGTCAAAAATATCATGCGGATGAACAAAAAATATGTTGTATAGAACTCCTTATTAACAAGGAAAATCCCAAAAATGAATAATCGCTTTAGATTTAGGGCAATATGCATCACGTAGAACATAATGAGTTATGAATACATTGAAAAGAGTTCGTGCTGTTAGCTTATAGTTGCCAAGATACTGCATTTTTTACGGTATTTTTTTCATAAAGACAAGTCTTAAACAGAATATTTTGTTGTAAAAGTTTCAAATACTTAGGATACGGCTATAGTAAAACCATATCTTCTATATCGTTCATGCACACTAATAGATTCAATGTTCTTCTTTCAGGATAGAAGCAAATCAAAAGGCCTAAAAGTTTCACAACAAACTATTCTGTTTAAGGCTTATCTCGATGTAAAATTTCAAATTGCAGCTCGAAAATCAGTTTTTCTGATATTGCTAAGGTAGACTACAGCATTGTGCTAAAAAATATCGTACGAACATAATTAGTATCTCAGCAGGAATAAAGTAACAGTAGGAAATCTTTTCAGTGTATTTATAACTCATTATAGTCTAAATGATGCACATTATCCAAACCCAAAAACGATTGATCAGTTATAAGAAATGTTGGAAAGATCACATTTAAGCGTTTTAATTTTAGGGTAGGCTCTACATTTTTTATATGATTCTCATCGGAAAGTTAAAATGAAAGATTATGAGTTTTCGAATGCTACTTATATAAAATACAGTTAGTGTCTCCTTTATCGAACTCAGATATTGCAACGTGTAACACTGATGCAGATCAGAAATTCGCAACTTCCGTAAAAAGAAGCGCGTATTTGAAGAAACATGTGAACGTTTATATTCATCGAAATCTATAATTAAAGTTAATTTTGAAATCAGTAAAGTAGCATTGCTGCTATATAGAAAACATCGTTTGTCTTCTAATAGTTTGATTAACATTTTACTTCAGCAATCAATTCGCTTTTTCAATCCCTAATGCTTTTCGAAATATTATTTTTTTGTTATTTTTTAATAAATTTTAGTTGATATCTTCCCGATCGTTATGTCTACACAGCTAATGAAAACCGAGGAAAACTCAAACGATGCATCATTTATGGATATGAAGCGTACAGCTATTGACTCTTCTGGACGCCTTGGTTTCTTTTATAATGCATACCGAGATTGTTTACTTGAACAGTCAAATATGAATAAGGAAGAAGAGTTATATGCAACCTATAAAATAGTTCAAGGCGAGATTAAACATGGCAACGACGATCAACCTCAAAATCTTTTACGACTTCTTTCTTTAGACGAACATTTAACATTGAGTATCTTATTAAGATTAACACCAAGTACAGGAAAAGCTTCACTCATTAACTATTCTCATCTATCCAATGAATATACTCGATTATTCTGCTATTCTTATATAGATCGTATACAAAAATTATCAGACACAATAGTAGATACTGAACAATTCATAGGCTCATCAATACCTTCATGGACAGCAACTCATATCATAACTGGTATTGAATGGGGAACTGACTTAGTTATCCTTCTGCAGTTACCAACTGACCAATGTATAGCATCACAGATTGATGATGTACTTGACAAACTTCTTTCATCTTTACTTAATAATGAGAATATTTCTCCATTAACTCAAGATGAAGAAAGTCTTTTAGCAAATATTGTTCACACGAGAGTTTACACGAATACGTCTGAATTAAACAATATGAATAAAGTAAGTGATATCTGCCACTATATAAAAGAAAACATAAATAACATTAATGTCTATCCGATAACTTATACTCTTCGACCCATCAAATGTTTCTATTCTCAATATATTGGAGAATATGTGAAATTCACTCTACTATCTAGAGAACTCAATGAAAGTATAGAAGACTACGTACTTCAATTAATGGTTTATATGAAACAAGTAGAAAAATCTATTACAGAGAACATGCCGAAGCTTTTAGGTGACCATTTGAAACAAAAACAGAGTAATATAGAAATACAATGGCTTCATGTGCAAGGGAAATTTACAAATGAGATTGAACGAATTTGCAATCTAGTGGTCGGAATTCGTAGTGGTCAAGCTGAAAACTTAATGATCAAGCAAATATTTAACGATAACGAACAAATCATGATGAAAACCAGTATTAATGATTTAATGCAGAATCTAAAATATCTCGAGGAAAAAGAATATTTTATCAGATATTTAAATCAACAAAATTTTCAATACGTGAATGTTATCGAGTATAACATCAACCAAACAGATAATGAAAAATCTATTGAACATAAACTCGTTCTAAATGATCAACACTATCGAATTCTCTGCTCAAATGATGATTTAAAAAAGAATAATTCAGAAGAGTTGCAAAAATTAATCTCTAACTTATTGGAAGAAGTTAAAAATGATTCAAATCTACGTTTTATCTATGCTGATTTTTCTGATTGTTCTTTTGAACTATCTACTATGATGGTATTATCATCATCAAAAGAGACTCATGAAAATATACTTGATCAACCGTCAGCTCCATTGTCTGGAACGATGGAAGTATCTACTCCATCATTTAGAGAACCTGAGCTTTCTATTCTACCATCAGTCGATGCTGATACTTCTAGTGTACCGGTAACATCAATGACAATGCCAACTGATGAAACTATTAATATTCTTCTTTTGGGTGAAACGGGTGTTGGAAAATCGACTTTTATTAATGCTTTTGCCAATTATCTTACATTCAACACACTCGAAGAAGCTGAGAGAGGCCAACCAGTTGTACTCATACCTGTTTCATTTATAATTACAATCGGTGATAACTTTGAAGAACATATTGTTAAATTTGGTGATATGAATGATTCAAATAATGAAGATTTTGATCATCCAGGTCAATCTATTACACAATATTGTAGATCATATATATTTCATCTAAATGATTCTGATCGAAAAGAACTATGTATTATTGATACACCTGGTTTTGGTGATACAAGAGGTATTCAACA